AACTACTATATATATATATATATATATATATATATATATATATATTCAAGTCCCAAAAATAGTGCATCTTGCAACACATTATTTGAACCACCCATTTTCAAGATTTTAATGTGTCTATAGATCCGCTTGATTTGAGCTATTTTTGAAGTTTAAAATTTTATAATTAAAAGTGAAAATAGATTCGTAGACAATCCTAAGAATGTTTTATACCAAAATTATATCTCATGACAAAATTTGGACATACGCCTCAGTGTCAGAAATTATATGATGGCTTGAAAACCCATGTTCAATCCTAGTTATGAAATTTAAAATCTTAAAAATAGTGTAGATTGAGTAGTTCTATAAACACTTGAAAATCTTGAAGATAAACGATCCAGAGAACTTAATACAAGATGTACTATTTTTAAGACCTTAAATTATTTCTATTATATTACTTCACTACCTTAAAAAAAATTGTTTCATGCGAGCTAGACCACATTTCTACATATATGGTCTAGAAATTATAAAGCATCAATCTTAAAGATGGATGCAAGTAGGTGTTCCATCTCAAAACAATGGCAACTAACAGTCCAAATGCTTTTTTATTATAATTTTTATTTTTAATTTTTAAAATTTATTTATTTTTTCATATTCATGATCTCCATATTAAAAATTACATGTCCTTAAAAATTGAGTTTTAAAATCCATCTCAAAAATAGATTTATTAAAAAGCCCGCAGTTCTACGTATGCGGGCGTGGCCGCATAAAAACCAGGTCCTTACTTTAATGAAATAGCTAATGCGTACTTCTATAAAAAATAATAATAATAAAAAATTAAATTCCTTTCCTTTATATCCATGCATCTTGACAATGAGAATGTTTTTTAACTTTGGAATACACTTTTTTACTTCTTAATCGATTTTTGAGATACACCTTTTTTTCTATGCTATAAAGTTTCAACCAGTGTTTAAAAAAACGCCTAGTCGAACCGGACTTGTCTTGTTTGACTCGAGAATCGATACAGACCGTGTCGGTTCTTGTACAAAATCGGGAACCGCACCGCTCGGTTCTAGAGCAGAACCGCCGGTTGCCAACCGGTTCCAACAGTTCCCACTCGGTTCTAGCGGTTCCCAACCGATTCTAGCCCGGTTCTAGCTTGCTACTCCCTCTCTCTCTAAAATCTCTACGATTCCCATTCACCCAGCTTCTTTCTTTCTCTAACTTCCTACAACCAAGAGGCAACAAATTGCAACCATGATCTTCCTCCGCCATCACAAATTGCAGCCATGACCTTTCTCTGCCATTACAATTTACAGTCACGACCAACCTCCGCCTCTCCCAATCTCACCCCTCTACTCCAACCTGCAACTTCTGCCTTACTCATTCTTTTCCTTTGCTGCAACCTCCGCCTCCGCCATTCTCTTCTATCCTCCACCTGCTGAGTTCATCCTCCTACTCCTCCTCATTTCCCTGCACCTGATCTCGCGGCCTCGTTGCTCCATCTCTGCCAACTTGCAACCACGAGCGTCTCGTGCTGCTGCCCCATCACCTACAACTCGCGGCCTGCTCACGCTGCTTCCCCACCCTCTTCCTTTACGGCCTGCTTTTGCCTTCCCCCTCTCTCTCTCACGACGCACGGCTATCCCTCTCATTCTCCCATTCCCATGTTCCTTTCTCTCACTAAAACCCACTAAATAAAACCCACAAAAGAAACACCCCCTTTACCCTTTTTCGTTGTTTCTTTTCGTGTTAAGATTTCGTAACTTTCGTTTTCGTCCAATCCTCCTCGCTCAAATAAACGCCTCGTGGCTTTTGTTTCTTTTACTTCACTTTCACACCCAATACTCATTAGCCACCTCTCTCCTTCCTATTCACGTAAAACCAGTATTTAAAAAAACGTCGGGTTGAACCAGACTCGTCCGGTTCGACTCAGGAATCGACATGGTTATCACTAATATTATTTGCTTTGACATCTCAAGTTCGAATCCCCTCTTGGGCCATATAATAGTAATCCTTTTTTGAGCTAATTTTTGTTCTTCCTTGAGCATATAATAAATTAAAGTGTTTTTTCCAAAATTTGTATGCATTTTATTAATTTTTACATTGATAACCAAATCTTTTATTTTATTTATTAATTTTTACATTATAAATAATGTAATGTACTATTTTTTTTACAGTTGTCAATAATACATTTTAAATTAGATAATATTATAAAATATTTTTAATTTGTTATTATTTATCTAATAAAATAATTATAAAATGTAAACTAATAATTATAATTTCAGTATATAATATTATAATTAGTTAAGTTGTAATAATTTTGGATTATAGTTAGTTAGGTTGTAATAATTTGAGATTTTTTAGCGGATTAAGGTTTTTCGCCAAAACGAGATTTTAATGGCCATTCTTTTATTGATTTAGTCTACTCTTTATTATATAGTTCATGTATAATTATACATTTTATCCGTGATAATGCTACGATTGTTTTTTATGTGATGCAAATTTAATACTTAAGTTTATACAGGGAAAGAGATCTCAATATTCACAAATTGATGAAAAAAATGAAAGTTAATAATGTAGTACCCTCATTTTTTATTGGATTCATAAAAAACAACATTTATAATGAATTTTTAAAAAAAATTCGGATTTTTTTGAATCTTTAATCCGACCGATTCTCAATCCGGATCGCCGATTCACCGATTCAAATCGGTTTTTGAAGTGCCCGATCCGGATCAACGATCCGCTTTTTAAACCATCGGTTTCAACCTTATATAAACTTTTTCATCCATAAATGTTTCCCACTTTGAAACTGTCTAAGACACGCCAAAACATAAATAAAAATTATCAAAAAAAAAAAAGTTACATAAGGTTGAGGCCTTAAAGAATCCAACTAACTCATACCTCAAAAATTCGTTGCAAAAAGTTGTTTCGATGCCAAAAAATACTCTAAATCAGATCATCTCAACCTTGAGATACATGAATTTAAAAAAAACATGAACTTCAAGTTTGAAAGTAGTGCATCATATAATATATTATTTGGATTGTCAATTTTCAAGATTTTCAAGCATTCATAGACGGCTTGATCTGCACTACTTTTTAAGCTTTAAATTTTATAATGGAAAAAGTTTATATAGAACTGAGACTCTAAACAATCAAATTAGAGCCCACATCAAAAATTTCACTAGAAGATGTTGTTTTGATGCTCAAATATCCTCAAATTGATCATCTCGACATCAAGTTACATGGACATGAGAAAAAAATGGATTTCAAGTTATAAAAATAATACATCTTGTGATGTATTTTTAGATTGTCAATTTTCAAGATTTTCAAGTTTTCATAGATTTACTCGATCTACACTATTTTTTAAACATTAAATTTTGTAATTAGAGATGAAAATATATTTTAAGGCTATGAAAAATATTTTCAATATTGAAATCACATTTTTGGACACCATTTGAAGGTGTTTTTTTATTTGACTTTAGAACCTCAGCTCTGCACTTTTTTATAATTAAATATTAAAATAAAATTTCAAGTAATCACAATGATTTTTAATATTAACATCATAATAATAATAATATTTAGTGGGGAAAGACACACCGCAGCCCTTTTCCTAAAACCACGTCATTTACTATTGGAAAAGTTTCTATAAGGGTGAAACCTTAAAATGTAGAATCACAAATGCTCCTCAAAAATCAATAATGTAGAATCACAAAATCCATAGGAAATGTTGTATTAATGTGCGCCTTACTTTGATCATTTAGAGCCTCAGCATTATACAAGCCATGTAAGAGATAGAGGGAGAGAGAGTTTATAGAGGGGAAAGAGTTCACAGAGGGGAGAGAGAGAGAGAGAGAGAGGAGGGAGAGGAAGAAGCAGTTTAAAGAAATGGCGATAAGCAACTTCATCCTGACAGTGGCGGGCGTCACAGCGGCTGTGCTTCTCTTCCGCAGTGATGTCAAACAGTCCGCCTCAATCTTTCGGCGAAACGTTCGCCAAATCCGTCAATGGCTCGAGCAAGAATCAGCTGCCGCCTCCAAGTAATCTCTCTCTCTTCCTATTTTACTGCAGTTACTGTGGCTTACATGGGTCGTTATCAGTAACCTAGAATTTTAGGAGAGCTTCATTTTAGGGTTTATCAGTTAATTGGTTCATATGAAGCCTGATTTTATTTGAGGGAGTGAAACTTAGGGTTGATTTGTCGACATAGCTATTGATTTTTCTAGCTGGTTCCAATAACTACAGAAATAAAAAAGGATCTTCAGACACATTTTTTTTTAAAATGAATTATGTGTTTTTCCTAGTACTAATTCATAGCTGACGGGTTAATCTCTAAGTTTTAATTATAATCTTTTAGTAGAGAAAAATGGTAAATTTTTGGATTCCATCATTCATAAGAAAGTTGTGGTTTTGGGTTCTCCTTTTTGTTCTCGGAAAAGTTATGAGAAACTGTTTGGATATTATATACTTATCTTACTTTTGTTGAGTTGCGAACTTTTTTGTTTTTGTAATTTGATTGGAAAGATAATAAGATCCTAATTTTTGGTTATTTCCATGTTTGTTTTAGTTCACAGAACAGTTCCTTCTCTATTGAATTAAAATTTTGCATTTAACATTGGATTTATCTGAGTTGGGGTTTGGTTTTAAGAGCTGATACATCTAACTCTACCTGTCTAGCCCCTTCCCGATTCTATATTTTATTTTTTATTTTATTTTACTGGTTGCATAGTTTTCATTTTTTTTTTTATATAATTTTTGAGGCCATCTTCTCTACATTTGTAAGTCGAATCTTAGCTATTGATAAGTACCCTCCCTTATCGATTTTAACAAAGCCCAGAAATTTTATAAAATATGTTTTTCTAATATTGTAATTTTGTATTTCTGGATCACTTAAGAGCAACACCAGCTTTCATGATTTTATTATTTTAGTTGTTACATTCTACTATAGGTGATAGATGGATAGATTGGTAGGGTGGATGTGATTGTTTGTTTTATTGTTCCACTCTATTTCAGGATTGGTGTTATACGTTTGACCTAAAAAAACAAAGTGTCGTAACTCATAAATTTGGTTTCGTGTTTTCGCCAGATGAAGAATTTCTTTTAAAAGTCGGCATGAATAAGACTTGAATTATTAATGATGGTTAAGAAGTCAGATTGTATCAATGATCTTATGTATTAAACCTATTGCTTTTTTTGCTGGAATATTTAATATCTTAATGCTGAGATGGTTGGATTCTTTTGTTACCATATCTAATGCATCATTTGGTCAAGCTTTTTTTACCGCTGTGATTTGAATTTGGCTGGTTCTTGATATTGGGTTCAAATTCTGGTAGCAAGAAGGCAATAGGGATCTTATGGATATACTTGGCTTAAGAAGTATCGAAGTTGCTCTGAGTTTATTTCAAATATAACTTCATACTATTAGGTTATGTTTCCCTTGCAGAAGTAAATGTTTTGTTTGCATCGGTCCTTGCAGTCGAATATGTATATTTGTGCTTCCAAAGCAAACTTATGACAATTCATTATTTCATTGAGGTTGTGACTAAGAGTTGGCTTTCATTATCAATCAAGATTGTGGTGGAGGTGTCTTGTGCTGAGTAGGTGATATGTTCAGGAAGAAACTAGAACACTGGTGTAGATTGTTGATCTTTTTTTCGCAGGCCAATTGACCTTGATCTTAACGGTCTTTCAGGAGCACTTATGTTTACTGGAAAGATGACCCCTTTTGAAAGATCTAAGACTGGGTTTGAGGATGTGTGGATATTGGAAATGTGCTATTTCATATGATACAATATTAGTTGGATGGTTGGGCAAGAAAGTGGTTCCGGGGATGGTCTCCCCAAATAATACTCTTAGATTGTATAGGATGTGAGGAATAGAAAAAGCAAATTTTAAATGACCTCTAAAGGATGGAGTGTCATCATATTTTTGGCATAAATTTTTCATGTGAGAAGTGGAAGAACCATTAAAAAATGAACGTAGATTTTGGTCTCATGGGTGAGTTCATTAGGGAAATACCAAAGCTAGGGTATTGAACTCAGAATTCAACCTTCTAAAGGCTTACAGGGGCTTATTTCTTATCATTGCTGGATGCATCCCATGCCTTCCATCGTATAATTTTCTGTTGGAATTTTGGTTTTTAAGCTTCTTATAAAAATAAGGCTATTTTTCTCAACCAGATATAAGCTTATTTTGGCCATTGATTTTCCAGCTAACCATCGATCCCACCCTTTTGTGTTGCAAGGATACGTAGATTAATTCTTTTAAACTGTCGCCTTCTAGGTTATGGATTATTTGTTGGTAAGACATTGGCAAATACTTCTACTACAATTTTGCGGTGGATGAAAGAGATTGAGAAAGAACATTGGCAAATATTTCTACTACAATTTTGCAGTGGATGAAAGAGGTCGAGACATGTTTCTCTAGACTGTAAATTGAAGAAAAGTATTACAATTCCAACACTAGGGTATATCATGTATGGGCTCGGAAAAATTGAGGAAAGGTGATCAGTCTAAATATGCAGACTAACAAATACATGGAGGATGGGGACTGCAAATTTCCAATGGGCCCTTGGGTGACGAAGAGCATGTGTGGAGAGGTTCCTATGTTCATGAGAGACAAAGAGGACACATTGTAAATAGTGTAGAAAATGAGGACTAGTTCCTCGACTTCTGTAAAACTAAAACAAGTTGGGTGGGGTTCCCACACAAATCCCCGCTTGTGTAGCAAAAAGAAAAAAAGAAAGTAATTCTGTCACGGTTGGCTTAGGTGTCTTTCTTGAAGCCTTTTCCTATAGTCCGAAGGGACTCTCTTTGCATTGAGAATACATAAGTGGGAATGTCACGGAGGAACATGCTAAGGGTTCTCAACCTACGAAATGAGGCTTCTTGTTGACTAATGCCATTGGGTATAGCAGTCTGGTCCAGGTCTAACGTAGTTCTATTTTTTTCGATCATGTAGCACCAGGACTAGTGTTGATCTCCCTCATAGTTAAGTAGTAGGTTGAACTAGTGCTTTTGAGTATCTCTATAGAACCTTTGAACTGCAATTTTAATGCCAAAGTGAGATTTTGTTTAAGGAATTTTCTATTCTATTATTCTAAAGAGGAGTCCTTGAACTATTGAAGCTTAGGCGAAAGAGAAACTGCAAAAAAAAAATATTTGAGGTGTTAAATGGTTCAAATATGTTGGCATCGTAACAAGCTGTATCCCTTATAATGCAGAAGGGCTGCCAGCTGAGGATGATTTGAATCGTATTGGAGCTGTCAATATGGTTTTTGCTCTTGAAAGGAACTTCAACGTAGTGAAAGAAAATTGAAGCAAATGGTGAATGAGCATAAGATGAGGTTGAAATTCAATTCCTATGTGGAGCAATGATGATACATGTCGTGTATCAGTTTTGCGATGTTTATATATATATATATACACACACTAGCTCATATGAACATATGAGCCCAATGGCTCAGATTGATTCTGGGCCGATCTGATGAATACAGATGTCCGGTAGTGTTTGAATTTTAGTTTTTTTTTCTACAAATCCAAATCACTTGAAATTTTAGACATGTGTTCTTCTCATCAAGGCGCATCTAATAAAAATATAAAAAAAATGCTGAGATTAGCCCACTAGCTCATATGATCATATGAGCCCAACGGCCCAGATTGAATTCGGGCCGATCTGACGGTCACGACCTCATTTCGTGTTTGAATTTTAAATTTTTTTATACAAAACCAAATAACTTGAAATTTTAGGTGTCCATTCTTCTCATCAAGGTGCACCTAATAAAAATATTTAAAAAATAATTTGCAATAAACAAATTGACCAAAATACCCCCAAAACTTTCAAGGGTATATTGGTCAATTTATTTATTGTAAATTATTTTTTTGATCTTTTTATTAAATTATCCTATTTTTGAAGAACACACCCCTAAAATTTCAAGTTATTTAGATTTGTAGAAAGAACATTAAAATTCAAATACGAAATGAGGTCATGACTGTCTGATCGGCCCAGATTCAATTTGGGCCGTTGGGCTCATATGAACTCATATGTTCATATGAACCCATATGTTCATATGAGCCCATATGTTCATATGAGCTCATATGTTCATATGAGCTAGTGGGCTAATCCCAGCTTTTTCCATATATATATATATATATAAAGTTGTACCCTTAATAAAGTAAGGTGCACCTCCAAACTTTATCATGAGATGCAATTTAGGTGTCGAAAATTCTTAGGATGGTACAAGAATCTATTTTTATCTCTAATTATAAAATTTTAAACTCCAAAAATGGTTCACATCAAGCAAATCTATAAGCACATGAAAGTCTAAAAAATGGACGGTCCAAATAATGTGTTGCAAGATGTACTATTTATAGGACTTGAAGTCTTAGTTTCCCTCCATATGTATACATCTCGATGTCGAGATGATCAAAATTAGATGTTTTTCCAAGATCGAAACAACCTTTTTCGAAGGATTTTAGAGTGCACCTTAATTTTAGTGGTTGCTGACCCCAAATAATTGGGTGGGCGATGATGATGATATATCGAGTGGTTCATGTGGAATGTAAGGGCGCTGTGTAATGACCCTTTGGAAAGAAAAATCAGGAGGTTGTGCTATAAGTACAAGGCCACTTTTTTTATTTTAGTTAAGCCGGAACCCATGAAAAATGTGTATTTCGTGACTCGTCTACTAAAAGTAAAATTAAACTGAGCAGTTCACTTAGGCCTGACCATGTCCTAAAATTTGCCTGCCATTAGACTTTGGAAAATGAGATAATACATAAGAGTTACGCTGACATTTTTTCTTGTTAGGGCCTTCCGGAAACTGTAGTATTCTGTTTTTATTTCCAGCATTATGTGGCTTTGATGTTGTGGGCTAGTTAGCCCTCTCTTTTATTTTATTTTTAATGAATATTCATTTTTTTTTCATATTGTTACTACTTTTATAGTCATAAACAGTTTGTTCGATTGTTGATGAGACTCACTAAATTTGCTTTCCAAGTCGATGTGCTGCAGGAATCAGCAGATTCCTCGTGCTGAATGCGGGTCTTAATACTTTGATTAAGAAGCATATGAGAAATAACTCAGCTGTTAAATGTAGTTTTGAACTTGTCATGATGGCTTGAAAACATCTACATGTTATGAAATAGTCGTAAGTTGTGAATGAACTTATCGGGTCTTTGACTCCTTTGACCATATAGGGAGATGGACAATACTCTATACTAGCGTGCTCATTTGTTCACCCAAATTTGAAATCTGCATAAAATTTTCTTTAGAAAGTCTCTTTCTTTTAAGGGTGCAGGTTTGTATAGAGCCTAGGCTCTAAACAATCAAATTAGAGCCTACCTACAAATAGTGTCGAGAAATGTGGTTTCAATACTGAAAATCTTTGTGATAGCCTTAAAATATATTTTTATCTTTATTTATAAAGTTTAAAGCTTCAAAAATAGTGTAGATCGACATATCTATGAAAACTTGAAAATCTTGAAAATTGAAGGTCCAAAAATGCGTTACAAAATACACTATTTCGAAAACTTGAAATCCATTTTTTCTCATGTCCATCCATCTTGATGTCGAGATGATCAATTTGAGGATATTTGGACATCAAAACAACCTCTTCTAGTGAAATTTTTGTGGTAGTGTCCAATTTGATTGTTTAGAGCCTTGGCTCTATATAAACTTTTCCCTTCTTTTAATCTAGAGATCCATGGTGCAGAATATTTTGACAGACGGCTGATATTCCTTGGAACTTCAGGGCAATTGGATTTCACACGCTCTTGAAAACGCTCATATTATCCTTCAAAATAAATGTGCCAGTTCCCAAATTGTGAATAAGATCTCATGCTCAGGAGTCAAGATCACATGGAATTGGCCGCAAGAGATTCATGTCATGAGACACAATCAATCTCTGTGTTGGCATTGGGTAGTGAGATTTTGCATGATTTCTGTATGCATGGGCACACACCTAAGTTTGGATGAAGTGGAAGTGCATGTCGGGCGGCGTTAGGTATTCCAAATTAAAGTTTTTGAAGCTAGGGTCTGCCAGTAATCAAACTGAGTTCCCATTTATATAAGAGATTAACGTGTATAACTATATATTGTGGCTAATATATTCTTTGAGATATATACGGCATGTGACACTTATCAATGCATACGTGCCTCTTGCATTCATTCAAATGTGGACCACGCACACTCACTCATTATATAACTCTATGATGGTTATTTACGTTGCAACAAGTGGGAAGATTGGTATTAAGGGAAATGGATGAGGTGGCTGGTTGCATTCGTGTATATGGCAGGAGAAGTGGCCAGGAGATTGAAATGGGGATTGTATGCATAAATGTTGTGATGGAACATGACACTCCTCTCTTATGTTCCGCTTTAAACCATTTGATCATGGAAGCCTCTGATTAACTCTGTAAATTCCAATGTGTTCCACAAGTTGTCTGATCTGTTATTGATTTCTACTCTTGGCAATGTGTGTTAATACCTCGGTATTGGGGTAGATGTGTGTATTTATGTGTACACCCCCCCCTCCCCTCCCCTCCCCTTTCTATCTCTCTCCCTCACACACACACAAAAACTCATACACTCATGTTTGTCTCGTACAAACACAGCACACTCATGCCTCAGTTGTGTTCCCAGAGTTTCTTCTATCTTTCTATGGTGTTAATTCCTTATACTGAAGTTTCACACTCGTATAATCATGGTTACGTGTTACCTCAGGATGGGAGAAACCCCGAAGCCGAAAGAACTGGAGCAACACATGAAAGAGAAGGATGTTCCAAAGCAAGATCAGCACTAGCGTGAAACATGAAGCTTCAACACGAGTCACTAAAGACATTTCCCTGCAAATATATCTTCTTTCTTTCTTTCTTTTTTTTTTGAGCTTTTTGACCAAGAAATATAGAGTCTTATTTCAAGTAGTGGATGAATGAGGTCCCCAAACACTCTCTCTTACCTGGGGAAAGAATTGCCTTTCATATGCATCTCGATTTATTTGTACATTGATGGATTTGAGGTGAAATTTGGGGAAGTATAGGACTTTTTTCATGTGGGCTGAGTTTCCCTTAAATTTCATTTACCAAATTACATTGTAGCTTAGAGAAAGCTCCAAAACCTGAATGAAGCAGGGCATTATTGTTCAAATAAAGCATAAAGAATAAAAAAATATTTATTGGTGCACACGTGCCTAATCATTCTTGTGTGCACATTTCGCGTTTGAACACAGAGAACCCCTTAAAAAATAATTAAGTTGTCAAATGAACCAGATTCTATAGTGTATTCTAATATATTTCTTATATTAACCTTGGTCCATCTTTCTCTTTGACCCTAATTGGCAAAGACCATTAGCTATAGTATTTGAGGCAGTTATATAGAGGCAGTTAATCAAGGATTTAAGAGAGTATATGAGGTTTTTATATACTTTTGAGGTAGATTTCTTAGAGGAGAGCTATCTCTTACTTTTTCGTATTTATTTAGCATCGTGAAATGAGGTTTAGAACGTGACGCTTTTTGATCTGGATCGTGGTTCCGGATGTAGAATTGGTAAGGAATATGGTTCCCAGCCTTGTTTCCCCCAAATCGCGCTTTTATTTTTCTTTTAAGCTTATTTAATGTCCCTGTACCTTTCCAAATCCCCTTTTTAAATTCTCAACTCATAAGCCTCTATTTTGAATTTTTATTTCAGTTTTTTTATTTTTTTATTTATTTTTGAATCATTGATCCATATGATCATTTAACACTCTGGATCTTGCTGATCCAATAAATTGGGGGATGGACGATCCACCCCTCGAATCCGGTTTTTTAATCACCGAGTGAAACTATTTATCATCTTTGCTCATGCATATAGTCAAATGACCTAGGTAATAAATCTCTAAATTTTGGACCCAAAATCAATTTTTTAGAAGGTTTTTACGGCAACGACGCGTGTGTACAGTACTCATAGAAACCCCACCTAACAAAGAATAGTTATATTCTCTTTAGCTTTATAGAAATCAAAGGCAGGCAAATACTCCAATAAATGCATTACAAAAATCTCACATTTGTTCTATTCCATATAAGCAAAAGGGAGAGCTATAGAGTATTATACACTTTAGATTTGTAATGTGCATAGGATTAGATCATCCCCACCGCCCATCTCAACCAAGGATGGTAAAGATTACCTGTTCTTTCATAACAACTTAGGACTTCTCCTTTGGATGAAGACAATGGTGGAGTTTAGGCAAAAGAGCAACTCGTCTCCACCGTCAGTTGTTGATGGATGAGGGAGACATCACATGCTTACAATTTTGAGTGTTCATACGAGTGTTTCAAAATTTGGTCTCGGTGCCATTGACTTGCCAAGGGTTCGATTCCGATACCCCATTTGACTTGGAGATGGACACCAGAGATGTCACAATGTTCATAACAGTGTTTCAAAAAATTGGAAATGGGAACTTGATTCGGCAAGGTCCTAATTCCTACTTCCTCCATCCGACTCGGACGATTCTTAAGTAGAACAGAGCTACAGTGACAAACGAATTTTAAAAAGCTGGAAAATACAGAGAATCGGTAATTCCAAAGACTTTTTATCTAGAATCATAAACCCCATTGTCCATCCAACTCAGCCGATTCTAAGTCTGATAGGTGGTTTTAAAATAACTCGTTCATGCTACATATGATTGTATCGTGATCATGATACTGTTTGGAATCTCTACAATTAATTTGGGATGCTATACAATTTCAATCACATGAAAATCCTTAACGAAGAATTACACTTTTATGAGAAATTTATCCAAATATTTATGACAGATGAACTATTTAATATTATACCTATATCTTTTGATTTAATTTCAAAATACCTTGATACACAATCATGAGTCGAAATAGTTGCAAATTTGGTAAAATGTTAAACAATTCATCTCTTATGAGTATTTCGGAGAAATTTCCCTAATTTTTTTGTCTGATCAATTTTTTAAGCAAGAAAGTGTAAGTCAGTGAATTATTATTTCTATACACCATTGGCATATGGTGTACTTTGCCCAATTGCTTATCTTCCAAAAGCTAAACTGACATGTTTTCAGGTCCGTTAACGTGCTTCACCCGAGCTCAGCCAGGACCCAAACATTTAGTTTGGGCCTGGTATGGGCCAATCCAAATTCGTGATGATGAGGTCAGAACCTCGCCTGAGTACAGAGAAAAAAAAGAACAAAAAAAAAAAAACAAAGCTAAAAAAAGCCGGGTCGGGCTTTGTATAAATATGTAACGTACATCACATCAGAATATATGAGAAAACTTGTTACATCGGAACCCAAAAACAAGGGATGGTATCTGTAATACACTGCTTATGCAATGAGCGATCTTTTAAGTTTTGAGAAGATTGATCATCATCTCCCAGATCCAAGCCCCAGCTTCGGGCCTATTTGCTTGGCATATAACTTTCATCCATTTTTATTGATTTCATCATTTTCTCCTTGTATTCATCATTTGCTTGAATATTAGCTTTATATCTGCTATTTATATTGAGTTTTCAATGTTTTATGCGAGATTTAGCTGGCAATTCACGGTAAAGAAGGTCATGAGGTGAACTTTCTACGTAATTTATACTTGCCTACCTTGGACTCGGCCAAGTCTAGTATGTGTGGTACTCCGTGATCGGTTAATTTGGAGTTTTGGGTATTTGAATATCCAACACTTAGAACTCCACATTAAAAAAGGAAAACGTTTATATAGAGTCGAGGCTCTAAACAATCAAATTAGAGCCCACCTCAAACTTTTCCCTATAAAAGGTTGTTGTTTTGATGCTCAAATATCCTCAAAATGATCATCTCGACTTCAAGATGCATGGATATGAGAAAAAAATGAATCTCAAATTTTGGAAATAGTGGATTTTGTAATGCATTTTTAGACTGTCAATTTTGAATTGTTTTTAAAGCTTTCAATTTGATGATTAAAGCCATCAAATAAATTTATGATAGTGAAACAGCATATCTAGGTACTATTTGAATATGGGCTTTACTTTATTGGTTAGAGCCTCAATCTTATACAAACCACAGCATTCCTAAATGACTCTCAGCAGTCACTTTTAGGTTACCATGAATCAAAGGATAATTCTCAAGCTACTCCAAGTAGAAAAGAGAAATTACTCTAAGACTTAGATACACCTTTGCCCTATTTAGCAAATTCCTCCTATTGATTATCATTGACAAATAGAACTGGGCATCCTTCTCAAAAATCTCATATTAATTACTCATTAAAGGAGGGACATAATTCTACTTGATCTTAAAATATCCCATTATTTTTCAGTCAGAATAAATCCCGCTTTCAAATTAATGGGAGACAACATATCCCTCCTTTACTTCCCTCTTCCTCTTGTATTTATTGAGTTTTATGTTGATTTCCATAAAAAATAAGAGATTGACCATTTTGATTCGAAATTCATTTGCCTTCTCATTCATTAAATTAAGACCAACCAAACCAGCAAATCTTTAAATGTATGGAAGATAGGAAAGATGATTTAATGAGCCAAGTGGCTCTTAGAACAGTATACCAGAATAAACATTATGGATGGCCCAGAATTGGTGGCTCATTTACCCCAAAGTTTTTGTGCAATATTTATGTATTTATTTTATTTTGAAGGCCTAGAAAAGACTTACATGTGAGCAAAATTTAGAACCCCACAGTTTGGGAAAATATCATTAAAGGGGATGAAACCTCTTACAAAATTATTAAAAGAATAAAATTATCTCTATTAACATTTAAGGGTATACTTTTACCTCCTCATAAAAAAAAATTTAAATTAAATTGCTCTTGTTCGATAGTTGGAATTTAGAATAATCATGGGCATTTCTATAATTTGACCCTTAAGAGGCCTCACACGAATGACCAAAATACTCCAAATTGTTCCACATTATAAATAAGAAACACATTATTTAGTATAGGGGTATTTTTATCATTTTAAACTTAAATGCTTTGCATGAATCAAATTACAAAAAGACCCCTAGTTATTCTGGATGACTAATACTGGAGAATGTGCTCCTTATTTGTAATGGTAATACAACCAGAAGTATTTTCATTAGGGAAAGCTTTTTATGTTCCCCTTGCAATATAGAAGTTCTATCCTCCCCGTTATCCAACCATCCATTTTTTAATGGAGATGGCTAAGATTGCCCCAATCACAATGTCACGTCTCTACACTATTTTTTTTTAAAATTTTTTTCTATAAACTATTTTGACACCAAATTTTGAATCTTATTCCTCTATTAAACTCGCACTAACGAAAAATATAAAAAAATCTTTTCAATAAAATAAAATGATCAAAATACCCCTAAAAGTTTCAAGAGGTATTTTGGTCATTATGTTTTATCGAAAAATTATTGTTAATATTTTTTATAGGTGCACCCCAATGAAAAGATGACATGAACCAAATTTCATATTCATAAAATTTGTATTAAAAAAACTCAAAATAAATACTTTGACACGTCGGATCTAAGATCAAATGGTGAGTGGCTCTCTTGATAAAAAATGGACGGCTGGATAGTAGGGAGAGGATAGAACTTCAATGTTGTAGCTTCCCCTTTTCATTATTTGGTGAGGCATCATAGGGTCAATTTATTAAAAAGTCCCAATTGTTCATCGTTCCAAATATTGGATGAGGACAATTTGGGTATTTTTTAAAAAATCTTTTCTAGAGGAATTCAAGCGAAATGAAAAAAAAAAATGCCTTAAAAAATATTAATAGGAACAATTTCACCCTTTCAATGATGTTGTAAAGGATCTCATCCCCAACATATAGAGATTAATTATCATAGTATACATTCCCTAATCATGTTTGCAATATAGGATTGGTTACTTCCAAAGATTCTTTAACCATATATTAATCACTTTATATATGGTTATTATGATGATATAATGTTGTTTTTTGATAAGTTACATATTTGAACATTCCATTTTCCGTTTTCCAATAGATATCCATGTGTTTGGAAGTGGTTGTAAAGTAGGAAGCATCCATGAAAGTGACGGTATTTTTGTTTCATTTTTTAGCAAAGCCTTAGCTGGGATTTCAATAAAAGAAATCACATTAAACAACTTTGCCTTTTCACTTCATTGAAAACCCAATTAAAAATGGAGAACCTTTTTAAATGCCACCAAATAATATCCTAGTGTCACGACCCCTCTCTCT